ACTCTGTGGATTTGAGAAATAGGGAGTGTTAGCGTTTAATTTTTTATCAGAATTCATCAATCAATTAATGGCCAGCACCTGCGTATTACTAAGACAAGCTCCATTTGTAATAAGTTTATTTTTAAGTGCCCTTTCGGGCTTAGTTTGTTTTAAAATAGCTTCATTTATTATAAAACTCAAGCAAATTCGAGCAGATGCGTCACATTTCTCGCCGCCGAAGCAATTAATCGTGGCTTTATTCGCAGGCACTTGAAAGCCGAACTCCAAAACTTGCGAAGAAAGGGCGCTTTGAGGCCATCGGCTGATTGGGACAGCACAGGGCCGGATCCTGATCGATCCTGTGGCCGATGTCGCGTAGAATTGGGTCGAGTAATCAACCGAGGAGCCTATTGCCCAGCTTGCAGATTGAAAGTATGCAAGGGATGTAGGGAATACTCATTAAGGACAACCGATTGGGTCTGCACCGTCTGCCACAAACACATGTAAGTSGATCTCAGTTGGTCTATTCTCCCACAAGATTAAAATCAACCGAATGTTACCTCATAGATGCACAAACGCCTAAATCCAATTCATTCCCGTTGGGACGTTTCTCGTAATTAAGTGCAAGACACAGTTTGGTTTTTGTCGTTTTTAATCTGATCTTCTTCGGGACTAAGTTCCAGAAGACTGGCTTCGCGACTAATGACATCGGGTCGAGTGATTGACTTTATCTGATCAGTGTTTCTATTACATTGGTCGCCAAAATTAACCGGACAACTAACATTTTTCGATTTTTCACGTTGAAATATTTTTGTTATTTTTTGTCGGATTTCGACGAATTTTTYTTTGGCTTAAAGAAAAAACTTTGTAGATCATTGTAATTTAATTCAATAACATCTAGTTTTGTCTTCTAAATGTGATGCTCAAAAGACAAAGACACTGTTTTTTTTACTTATTTTTATACTGAGCTGTGGTGTGCGAAGAGACAAAATTAAGTTTTTACTGATTTCAGATTATTGCCCATTTTTTTCTAAATTATGTACACTCAGAAAAGTTGAAAATGACGTGTACATAAACCGACCCTCATTATTTGGGTTCTCGTACCTAACCGCTATAAGTTATAAGTAATAAAAATGCTTTTGCATTTAGCCTCAACATTTCTTTTAAGTAAATCTTGTCGTGGGATATTATTTCATTAATGATAATTATTATAATTAAACGTGTGTAAAGTATGTTCAAACGAGCAAATTTGTAATTTTAAAACGTCATTATTCTGTCTCACTGAAAAAAAGCTAATTTTTTCTTGATATTGGTATTTTTCTCTGCTTTTTAAGTCCCATCACAATGGCGGTTTTATTTTTTTGACAGAATTGTAACTTTGTCAATTAATTAATTCATTATTGTAATTGGTATTATCGACAAAACAGTAATGTTCCCAAACGTTATTAACSTGCTGCGCCAATTTTTTTAAATTWCGTTCGCGAACTTTGGGTTGAAAWTTTRGATAGTTGCGAACTATATTGRCCTATAAATTTTCTATTGGATTTAGATCAGGCGAGTGAGGAACCCATCGTATAATTTCGAATTCCTCTTTTCATTTCTGACCTGACCGTCTAGTTGAAATAANATTTTCTATTGGATTTAGATCAGGCGAGTGAGGAACCCATCGTATAATTTCGAATTCCTCTTTTCATTTCTGACCTGACCGTCTAGTTGAAATAATCTAAATATAATTCTATGAAGAATTATTTTTCACAGAAATACTAATGTCTAGGTTCGAGATTCTAAGAACCAAAATGAAAACAACAAAAATAATCAATAAAGTGTCACAAATTATATCAACAATTTACCCTTCCATTGAAACAATTAATATTCTGCTATAATGAGAGCAACAAATCTTTGCAGCATTTTATTGTTTTGTTGACAATACCGGTTACAGTAATTAATTAATTAATTGTCAAAGTTACATTTTTGTCGAAAAAATAAAACCGCCATTGTGATGAAACTCAAAAGCAAGAAAAAATTTACTTTTCTTTCCATTGAGACAGAATAATGACATTTTAAAATCACAAATTTGCTCGTTTCAGTATAACACACATTTTACACACCCTTAATTATAATAATTATTATTAATGAAATAAAATCCCATGACAAGATTTACTTAAAAGAAATGTTGAGGCTAAATGCAAAAGCATTTTTATTACTTTCCCCTCCCAAATGGTTTATAACTGCGGTTAGGTAAGAGGACCCAAATAATGAGGGTCGGTTTATGGTTTATGGTTTAGTGTAGGTCGAATATGCCAAAACGTCAAAATAGGCGCATGGAAGCTTCCAATAATTAACCGTTTTACTTGTTGTAACCCTTTGAAGGTTCAAGTTTTTTAGATTTTCTGTGTTCAAAGTCGTAATTGTGCTTTTTTGGTGACATAAGCAATAATTTTCGGTTTAACTACCTTTTTATGTAGCCTACTTTCTGAACAAATATTTAGTAACATTAGAAAAGCAATGCTTTGTATCTCTGGGACACCAGAAGATAAAATTTTGGAACAAATTGTTCCTTATTCAGAAAAGAACGGGCAATAATCTGAAATAAGTAAAAACTTAATTTTGTCTCTATTATTGAATTAAATTGAAATTGAAAAAAATAATTAAGTGTTCTGCAAAGTTCGTTCTTTAAGCCGAACAAAAATTAATCGAAAACCGACAAAGAATAACAAAAATATTGCAATGTAAAAAATTGCAAAATTTTAGTTGTCCGGTTAAATCATAAAAGCCGCCAAAAACATATTTTTGCTGTGTTGCCACTCTGTTTA